GTTATTGACTCAACTGGCCTTTGAAATGGCCTCTAGGGTTTATTTCACGTGTGCCACGTATCGAAAATATGTCATCACTTATTTTAACACACATGGACAATACAAGGTTGTAGAGGTTGGAGGAGGAAGAGAAGGTAGTCTTATGTCTGCTTGTTGTGTGAGGAATCTGTTGATGTGGTGTGATGGTTTGCCTATGTAGTAGTGGTGTTCCGATTAATTGAAATAATCGAAGATTGGTCGAAGTGACCAAACGACCAAGCAATCGATCACATTTTCTCATAATCGAACACAAACGATTTTGGAACTGCTGTTTTAGTGTTTGAAACACTTGACGATGGAACATATCTTCGAAGTTGTCAGGGCCTGAAAACTTGTTTAATTCTTAGAAAACTCACTTCACTAACTGCAAAGTCATGACGGAATATTTCTTGAAGACTCCAGAAAGTTTATGTTCATGATATATTACTCAGCACTTTAAAGTAGCAAGTTGCATCATGTTATACGTATCTGCAATAACAACCTTGGTAGGGTTAATCTGAAAAATGACGCTAACCAATTTTTTTCGATGATTGTTCGTTGGTAATGAAGCAATCATCAATTGTGAGATTTCAACCAATTCCCAACACTACTATGTAGGGAATGGAGATCTTGATGGAGGTTGATTGTAGTTAAGGTATTTTGGAGGAAGGTGATGGACTTGCTGCAATGACTGTTGACTGTTTGGGATGGATAGTGGTTTAGGGCTACAAACACTTTCTTCTCGTGTTCAGTTTCTTCTTGTAGATTTGTCGAGCATATGTTCGTTGATTTTCTGGCTAATGTAGAGATTATGCTGGAGAGATTATCCTAACTTGGGGACGATGTTTGGAGTTGCATTGGATGTACTAATCCGGATGGGTAGGTTTTCTGTACACAGTGGTCTGGAGTTGGTTTGAGGAGGTACAGCACACAAAAGCATCAAGGAATGATACTATGAATGAAAAATATCATGACGCAATTTGCTTGTCAAACGCAATAAACAATCTCATTGTCTCGTTGTTATTCACCATTTTATATAATCAACAACAGATCTAGACAATACATCAATTATGCAATATCAATTATGCAATATACATGCAACACTGGCTTCTTGTACATTTAGTATATATATTCATTGATGTATCTTGTTTGTTACAATTCACCTGACCAAGGAGCAAGGAATAGCCCAGAAACGTTGTGACATACAATAAAAAAGAAGTTGTCATCCATCATATTTGTGTTTTACTTACATACATCACTGAAGCAATGACAATAACTTGGGGGAATACTAATTGCTGTTGTTAGGAAAACATCACTGACTGCATGCACACGGAAGTACTCTATTGAGCTAAGTTCAAGATTAGCGGCAACCTTTAATATGTGATTGAGTTTCCTTTAGGTACAACTTTCAGTTGCAATTTATTAGGCAATTAGACAAGTCGCAAAAATATCATATCGCAAAAACGTGTGTTGATCGCCACGCAAATATCGTGACGCAAACATTTCGTGATTTACAGTAACTGCGTGTTTGTTCTGCTCAGTCTTCATCGCGAATTTTGATGGGGGGTGCTGGTTGTTGAGAAGGGTGGGAAGGTGAATATGAACATGTTGCGGTTGGAGGATAACAAAAGCATCATCTACTTTTCGGTAACAGTTGGCTGGTTTGAAGGGTACATTAGAGGTTTCTGTGCTGAGTCTGTACAGACCAGCAACAACTACAAGAAGCTAGATTCCTCAGCTAGGACTGTCCACATCAAGAAGCCCCAACCTCTTACTGTCTCACCAACCAAACCAAAGGAGATCATACTATTTAACAGTTTAGCGAGTGTGATAAGGTTTATTTCGCCAAAGCATTTTGATTTAATAAAAAGTAAATATTGCAAAAAGTTTGTTTTTTATAAGGAGCATGTATAAGTTTCACAAAGTTACTGACAATGTGTTAAAACTTTCAAATGTAATGACTCTCACTTCATTTCACACATTTTAAACAAACCAAAATGGCGCTACCCATCAGTGAAGCACGATGTAACTAAAAACACCCTGGCCTTTAAGGGGGAGTAGAATAATATAATACAGCTTAATTACAGTTTACTTTAGAGTAAATAAGGAGGAGGCTTGTCTCGGAACATTCCACATGCGCCTTGTGGTGCCCAGTTGCAATGTAGACATAGCTGGCGCTGGTCGATCAGTGTTTCTTGTTGCTATGACATGCTGTATTTTTTTGGGTCAGTAAACAACATCAGCACATTGAAGCAACGATAAGCCATGAAGTACCCTGTTTACCAAGCTGGTTGCACTACATGATAGAGTAACTGACTTGAATTGACAGCCTGGGATGTGATGACATCCCCGTGATGTTAAAGCGACTGGTGTAGATGTAGTTATGAAACTTTTTAAGTATTGTTCATGCCTGTGGCCAGAAACAGCTATATTTCTTAGTCATAATTCTTAGTGCACACCGCACCCCCTCAGATAGCCTTGTGGTTGCCGAGACACCGACACAGTGGTTGGAATGAAACAGAGATGGTGGGCGTCATCTTGTCATAAACGCCAGGATACAATAATATTCGGTTAGTCGACAAGTTTAAAAAACATTTCACGGGAAAGTGAAAGTGACAGTAATGAAAGAACGATATATATATTGTCACTGGCGGGGTACTAGCGCTGTATAAAAGGAAAGGGTTGTAACAAGGTAATACACTATATTCCTGGACTAAGATTTCTTGTTATAAGGCAAAAGACGATATAGATGAGTTATGATCTGTTCAGACATGTCAACAACCGCTAGGGATGAAGACCATTATTGTGTTCACAACATCAGAAACTCAGAAATGAGAGCTTCCGTGTAATATTTGGAAACGTAAAACACTTGAAATATGAACAAATGTAACCGTTTTTGACTTTGTTAAACAAGATGTTGTCCCAACCCAGTGAAGCGTCCGAGAGATGGCTCTCACAATCAGATGCATGACTGTCTATTATGTACAGTAGGTACAAGTGGAATTATTGAACGAATAAATCATTCCAAGGAGTAATAGTTTTCTAACTGTGCCACTTAATAAATTGAATGTTAATGCATTTCTCTTTTAAAGCAATTGTTCATAACATGTCATATTTGGTTCTGTAGTTCTTGAAATTCTCGATATGGTTCTGTAGTTCTTGAAATTCTCGATATTATGTGAGTTGTTCTGGAGTAGTTACTTTGTATTTGTCTAGTTTCATTTAACGATGAAATGCATGACATTAATTTTGTCAGAATGTGTACAACAATGAAAAAGGGGGACACAGTGACACCATAAGTGGATTGAGGCCTCTGGACTTCAATGTGGACATTGACTATCGAATACAGTATGTACAGATTCTTGTACCGTTGTCCAGCCGGATGTACTGGTTTAAAGATGTAAAACAGGAAATTAATTGAAATCTTGGAGGTTACGAGTGATGGCGGATGTTCTGGATGTACTGGTTTAAGATGTGAAACTAGAAACGAATTGAAACTAGTTTCATATTGTTTTAAATATGCGCATGTTGAAATATATTCGCGACTGTTTTTGTAAAGGTTTGTTAGCAAAATAGCCGTACTGGTGTGTTTCACCATATTGGTAACCGTCTGAGCCCCCATCACTGGGAACTTTCCTCCAACATACATCAGAGACCATATATGGTCATACATGTAGTGTCACAACAAGGTCAAAGCCAACTCACTGAACCCAGAACTGTAGTCCAGATTTGTTTGCAGAGAACTATGACAGCGTTAGACAATCAGTACTTCAAACTTGAGCTACAGGTGACACATTAATGGACATGAGCAGAATCTGATATACTCAATCCATATACATGTATTGTAAAAAACCTAGCTATTTATATACACAATGCAATGAAACTTAGAGATTCACTTCTGCCACTTATGCCAATAATATCATATTTCCTTTTGTATACTTTGTAAATTAACTTATTGTCTTCTGAACTATATATGCACATATGTACCGCTCTGAAATCCTGAAGTGTAGCCTTGGCCTATGGTCTCCACTACAAAGAAATTAAGATTGATTGATATACTCTGAGCAATGTGTCCTAAAATAAACCTTGTATCCTGGAATCTAAGATTGGCGCTGATAATGTTTCTAGCTTTGCCAGTGCCATAGTAGCAAGTAAGGATTTCCTCAATGTGGAAGACGTCTAACATCTACATAATTTTAGACTTTACTTCCAACACAAACTGAGTCTATGACATTGTTATATAACTGATACTGTTCAAAGTTGCGATGCACTAGGCTGTGAACAATTTGAGTCTGTATATATTGGCAAACATGGAACATTCAGCCAGTCCCTAAAGATACACCCGAATTAATAGTTCGAAGTGATCTCAAGCTACCTTTTGGAACGACTTTATGGGTCAGTTGTCAGGCTTGGTCACTTGGTTCATTGCGTGTCATTGTGCCCCAGCGGGCACCTACACCTGAAACTTGCACTTGACGCATGCGCAGACAAACACACCCTTAAATAGAAACTGTATAAAGGTTATCTTTAATAATAAATCAAAGTCTGTTGTGGGTTCATCTGATACATGTATATTTCAATTTATTGATTTTACTAAAGAATCCCAAGTATTTTACGACATTTAGGAATGACATGTTAAGTACAAGTACTTGTCACAGGGCCAGTTACACATTTTTGGAAAAACTGAATTTTTCGATTTGTTCTGACAGTCCTGCCGACGTTTATTATATCTTTTACGAACGCTTCGATTATTGCTCAGTCGCGGGGAACGAGACCACCGTGATGAACGTCAGAGTTTAGATAATGTAATCAAAACGATTAGGTATGGAGCTATGGGACATTATCGCGATCTCGATCTTCAGACACGGACATGTTGCTTACAATATTACCAGATATATATTATATATTTAATCTGACACTGAAAGTGGAAGACCTACAGGAGTCGACTAATTCACTGTGACCGTATGTTTTCTTTGTTCTAGTGCCTAGGTCTGGACAGCGTGGTGGCGTTATTTGGAGGGGAAATACGTGAACCGCAGGACCTGATGTATTTGGCTCCAGTGATACTGTATCAGCTGACCCCTTTCTGTGAACGCCGGTTGTCCGACAGAGCCGACCATTCGTCTCAGCATCAACAACAGCATCAACATCGGAAACATCATCACCACCACCACCACCAGAATCAGCATGGAATCATAAATAACAAACGAAACGAAAGCAGCAGTGTCAGGAGTAAAGGTGACTATAGCCTTCACGAGCACTTGGATGCCAATAAACGTAACCATAGCAACAGAGAACATGACCAACATCATAGCCACCATGACGGACACGGGAAACACGATAACCATCGTTTAAAGAAAGTGGAAGAGAAGGGTAACCAAAGCGACAGCCATCAAGAGGCAGAAGAACAAAATAGTCACCATGAAAAGGATAAACAGGGCTCCCATAGTGCCCATGTACATCACGTTAACAGAGGACAAGATCACCATGGGGATCGCAGCCATAATACGGCATCGGCAGAGGTCAAACGTTACCATAGTGGCCACGTGCACCATGTTCATGAAGGAGTGGAGACCAACAGTAGTCATGGTGACCATATACACCATGCTTCAAAACACAAGGACAAAAGTCTCCATGATGACCACATAGATCATGATTCTACGGACAAGGACAGACATCTCCATGGAGACAATATACATCACGTTTCAAGAGACAGAGAGAAGGATTCCCATGGCGACCATATACATCATGAATCTAGGGACAAGGACAAGCATCTCCATGGAGACCATATACATCACGTTTCAAGGGACAGAGAGAAGCATTTCCATGGCGACCATATACAAAATGTTTCCAGGAACAAGGACAAGCATCTCCATGGTGATCACATTGACCATGTTTCTACAGATAAGGACAGACATCTCCATGGAGACCATATGCATCACGTTTCAAGGGACAGAGAGAAGCATTTCCATGGCGACCATATACAAAATGTTTCCAGGAACAAGGACAAGCATCTCCATGGTGATCACATTGACCATGTTTCTACAGATAAGGACAGACATCTCCATGGAGACCATATACATCACGTTTCAAGGGACAGAGAAAAGCATTTCCATGGCGACCATATACAAAATGTTTCCAGGAACAAGGACAAGCATCTTCATGGAGCCCATGTCCATGAAACGTCTGACCACCTTGATCACCCTGAAGACAACAAGCATCACCACTTCAGTCAGTCACCCTTAAAAGGTACGTGTCTGAGAAAACGTTTCAAGTCTTCAAGCTCTACGTCCAGAGAATGTGTGTTTCGTGTTCGAGTCTACTGATGCCTGCCCTGTAACGTCTGTATGTTTCAGTTTGGGGATCCAGCATCCTGGCTGTTCTGCTCATCAGTCTCGTGGGCCTCGGGAGCGTCGTCATCATACCCATCATGAGGAAAGTCTTCTACAACTATGTTCTGCAGTTCCTGGTCGCTGTTGCTGTCGGAGCACTCACTGGTGACGCGCTGCTTCACCTACTGCCACATGTAAGTTCGGAACGCGTGACAGTGTCAGAATGCATATGTGTAACACAGGCCCTCGTGTCTTTGCAAGGATTAAAGATTTTTAAAAAATATATAAAAATTTGAGATGACCCCCGACTCGAAATGCTTTACAGTACAATACATTATGACCTTGTACTGTGTAGCTTTTGAGTCATCTCAAAAACAATATTTTGTCATCTTTAATCCTCGCAAAGACACGAGGGCCTGTGATGTGTAATGTGTCAAAAACTTTCAACTGGTATCGTCTCCAACTTGCTCTATTCAATCACAGGCGATGACAGGCGATATCCATGACAACCACAAAGACACGCACGAGGACAACGACCATAGCGACCATTTTGATTACCATAGCAACTCACTGTGGATGGGACTGTGTGGAATGGGTGGACTGATAACGTTCTTTACCATGGAGAGGCTGCTTAGGATATTCATGGAAAGAAAAGCGAAGATGAAGGTCAGTTTACTGTCTGCTGACATTCATAAACATTTCATGCTGGGTAACATGCTAAGTGCGTTCACTCAGCAAGCACCAGAGTGAGTACGTGTGTGATTTTAGTTTTGCGCCGCTTTCAACAATATTCCAGCAATATCACGGCGGGATACACTAGAAATAGGCTTCACGCATTGTGCCCATGTGGGTTATCGAACCCGGGTCTTCGGCGTGACGAGCGAACGCTTTTACCACAAGGCTACCCCAGTGCTCCAGCAAGCACTAGAACATGGTTTGATTCCCAAATAGTCTGATAGTATTGCAAAACCAGTTGGCCCACTTGCACATGACTTCTGCCTTGTGAGTGTGCGTGCGTGTGCGTGCATGTGGGGTGGTCTCATCAGTCAGCTAGAATGTTTATATTGCCATTTAAACCGATAAGCATTGTAGCAGTGATCATGAAAAGATTAATTTAGATTAGAAAGTACCTTTGCAATTCAATCTTTAACCAAGAGAAAGAAGGCCTCGTCTCCTCCGTCCCCGCAAGTATCAAACACCGGTGCTTCCGACAGCGTGGTGGGCGTGAAGCTGTCAGCCCACGAGGACCCCGACTACCAGGAGTGCGAGGAAATGATGTTCAACGTGTACAGGAAGCAGAGTGAGTACCTCTACAACACTTGTACAGGTAGCACAGTGAGTACCTTTAGAACACATGTGCAGGCAGCGGGATGAGTACCTCTACAACACGTATACAGGCAGCACAGTGAGTACCTCTACAACACGTGTACAGGCAGCACAGTGAGTACCTCTAGAACACGTGAAGGGGCAGCACAGTAACTACCTCTACAACACATGTACAGTTAGCACAGAGACTACCTCTAGAACACGCATACAGGCAGCACAGTGAGTACCTCTACAACACGTGTACAGGCAGCACAGTGAGTACCTCTACAACACGTGTACAGGCAGCACAGTGAGTACCGCTACCACACTTGTACAGGCAGCACAGTGAGTACCTCTTCAACACGTATACAGGCAGCACAGTGAGTACCTCTACAACACGTGTACAGGCAGCACAGTGAGTACCTCTACAACACATGTACAGGTAGCACAGAGACTACCTCTACAACACGTATACAGGCACTCCACCACACGTGTACTGGCAGCACAGTGAGTACCTCTACAAGACATGTACAGGCAGCACAGTAACTACCTCTACAACACATGTACAGGCAGCACAGTGACTACCTCTACAACACGTATACAGGCAGCACAGTGAGTACCTCTACAACACGTGTACAAGGAGCACAGTGAGTACCTCTACAACACGTATACAGGCAGCACAGTGAGTACCTGTACAACACGTATACAGGCAGCACAGTGAGTACCTCTACAACATGTCTACAGGCAGCACAGTGAGTACCTCTAAATCACATGTACAGGCAGCACAGTGAGTACCTCTAAATCACATGTACAAGCGGCACAGTGAGTACCTCTTCAACACGTGTACAGGCAGCACAGTGAGTACCTCTAAATCACATGTACAGGCAGCACAGTGAGTACCTGTAAATCACATGTACAAGCGGCACAGTGAGTACCTCTTCAACACGTGTACAGGCAGCACAGTGAGTACCTCTACAACACGTGTACAGGCAGCACAGTGAGTACCTCTACAACACGTGTACAAGCGGCACAGTGAGTACCTCTACAACACGTGTACAGGCAGCACAGTGAGTACCTCTAAATCACATGTACAAGCGGCACAGTGTGTACCTCTACAACACGTGTACAGGCAGCACAGTGAGTACCTCTTCAACACGTGTACAGGCAGCACAGTGAGTACCTCTACAACACGTGTACAGGCAGCACAGTGAGTACCTCTACAACACGTATACAGGCAGCACAGTGAGTATCTCTACAACACGTGTACAGGCAGCACAGTGAGTACCTCTACAACACGTGTACAGGCAGCACAGTGAGTACCTCTACAACACGTGTACAGGCAGCACAGTGAGTACCTCTACAACACGTGTACAGGCAGCACAGTGAGTACCTCTACAACACGTATACAGGCAGCATAGTGAGTACCTCTACAACACGTATACAGGCAGCACAGTGAGTACCTCTACAACGCGTGTAGAGGCAGCACAGTGAGTACCTCTACAACACGTGTACAGGCAGCATAGTGAGTACCTCTACAACACGTATACAGGCAGCACAGTGAGTACCTCTACAACACGTGTACAAGCAGCACAGTGAGTACCTCTACAAAACGTGTACAGCACGCGTGAGTACCTCTACAACACGTGTACAGGCAGCACAGTGAGTACCTCTACAAAACGTGTACAGGCAGCACAGTGAGTACCTCTACAACACGTGTACAGGCAGCACAGTGAGTACCTCTACAACACGTGTACAGGCAGCACAGTGAGTACCTCTACAACACGTATACAGGCAGCACAGTGAGTACCTCTACAACACGTGTACAGGCAGCACAGTGAGTACCTCTAGAACACGTGAAGGGGCAGCACAGTAACTACCTCTACAACACATGTACAGTTAGCACAGAGACTACCTCTACGACACGTATACAGGCACTCCACCACACGTGTACTGGCAGCGCAGTGAGTACCTCTACAACACGTGTACAGGCAGCACAGTAACTACCTCTACAACACATGTACAGGTAGCACAGTGACTACCTCTAGAACACGCATACAGGCAGCACAGTGAGTACCTCTACAACACGTGTACAAGTGGCACAGTGAGTACCTCTACAACACGTGTACAGGCAGCACAGTGAGTACCTCTAAATCACATGTACAAGCGGCACAGTGAGTACCTCTAGAACACGTGTACAGGCAGCACAGTGAGTACCTCTTCAACACGTGTACAGGCAGCAAAGTGAGTACCTCTACAACACGTGTAGAGGCAGCACAGTGAGTACCTCTAGAACACGTGTACAGGCAGCACAGTGAGTACCTCTACAACACGTGTACAGGCAGCACAGTGAGTACCTCTACAACACGTATACAGGCAGCACAGTGAGTACCTCTACAACACGTGTACAGGCAGCACAGTGAGTACCTCTAGAACACGTGAAGGGGCAGCACAGTAACTACCTCTACAACACATGTACAGTTAGCACAGAGACTACCTCTACGACACGTATACAGGCACTCCACCACACGTGTACTGGCAGCGCAGTGAGTACCTCTACAACACGTGTACAGGCAGCACAGTAACTACCTCTACAACACATGTACAGGTAGCACAGTGACTACCTCTAGAACACGCATACAGGCAGCACAGTGAGTACCTCTACAACACGTGTACAGGCAGCACAGTGAGTACCTCTACAACACGTGTACAGGCAGCACAGTGAGTACCGCTACCACACTTGTACAGGCAGCACAGTGAGTACCTCTTCAACACGTATACAGGCAGCACAGTGAGTACCTCTACAACACGTGTAAAGGCAGCACAGTGAGTACCTCTACAACACATGTACAGGTAGCACAGAGACTACCTCTACAACACGTATACAGGCACTCCACCACACGTGTACTGGCAGCACAGTGAGTACCTCTCTACAAGACATGTACAGGCAGCACAGTAACTACCTCTACAACACATGTACAGGCAGCACAGTGACTACCTCTACAACACGTATACAGGGCAGCACAGTGAGTACCTCTACAACACGTGTACAAGGAGCACAGTGAGTACCTCTACAACACGTATACAGGCAGCACAGTGAGTGAGCCCTGTACAACACGTATACAGGCAGCACAGTGAGTACCTCTACAACATGTCTACAGGCAGCACAGTGAGTACCTCTAAATCACATGTACAGGCAGCACAGTGAGTACCTCTAAATCACATGTACAAGCGGCACAGTGAGTGCCTCTTCAACACGTGTACAGGCAGCACAGTGAGTACCTCTAAATCACATGTACAGGCAGCACAGTGAGTACCTGTAAATCACATGTACAAGCGGCACAGTGAGTGCCTCTTCAACACGTGTACAGGCAGCACAGTGAGTACCTCTACAACACGTGTACAGGCAGCACAGTGAGAGTACCTCTACAACACGTGTACAAGTGGCACAGTGAGTACCTCTACAACACGTGTACAGGCAGCACAGTGAGTACCTCTAAATCACATGTACAAGCGGCACAGTGAGTACCTCTAGAACACGTGTACAGGCAGCACAGTGAGTACCTCTTCAACACGTGTACAGGCAGCAAAGTGAGTACCTCTACAACACGTGTACAGGCAGCACAGTGAGTACCTCTAGAACACATGTACAGGCAGCACTGTGAGTACCTCTAGAACACATGTACAGGCAGCACTCTGAGTACCTCTACAACACGTGTACAGGCAGCACAGTGAGTACCTCTAGAACACGTGTACAGGCAGCACAGTGAGTATCTCTACAACACTTGTACAGGTAGCACAGTGAGTACCTTTAGAACACATGTGCAGGCAGCGGGATGAGTACCTCTACAACACGTATACAGGCAGCACAGTGAGTACCTCTACAACACGTGTACAGGCAGCACAGTGAGTACCTCTAGAACACGTGAAGGGGCAGCACAGTAACTACCTCTACAACACATGTACAGTTAGCACAGAGACTACCTCTAGAACACGCATACAGGCAGCACAGTGAGTACCTCTACAACACGTGTACAGGCAGCACAGTGAGTACCTCTACAACACGTGTACAGGCAGCACAGTGAGTACCGCTACCACACTTGTACAGGCAGCACAGTGAGTACCTCTTCAACACGTATACAGGCAGCACAGTGAGTACCTCTACAACACGTGTACAGGCAGCACAGTGAGTACCTCTACAACACATGTACAGGTAGCACAGAGACTACCTCTACAACACGTATACAGGCACTCCACCACACGTGTACTGGCAGCACAGTGAGTACCTCTACAAGACATGTACAGGCAGCACAGTAACTACCTCTACAACACATGTACAGGCAGCACAGTGACTACCTCTACAACACGTATACAGGCAGCACAGTGAGTACCTCTACAACACGTGTACAAGGAGCACAGTGAGTACCTCTACAACACGTATACAGGCAGCACAGTGAGTACCTGTACAACACGTATACAGGCAGCACAGTGAGTACCTCTACAACATGTCTACAGGCAGCACAGTGAGTACCTCTAAATCACATGTACAGGCAGCACAGTGAGTACCTCTAAATCACATGTACAAGCGGCACAGTGAGTACCTCTTCAACACGTGTACAGGCAGCACAGTGAGTACCTCTAAATCACATGTACAGGCAGCACAGTGAGTACCTGTAAATCACATGTACAAGCGGCACAGTGAGTACCTCTTCAACACGTGTACAGGCAGCACAGTGAGTACCTCTACAACACGTGTACAGGCAGCACAGTGAGTACCTCTACAACACGTGTACAAGCGGCACAGTGAGTACCTCTACAACACGTGTACAGGCAGCACAGTGAGTACCTCTAAATCACATGTATGTACAAGCGGCACAGTGAGTACCTCTACAACACGTGTACAGGCAGCAGCAATAGTGAGTACCTCTCTCAACACGTGTACAGGCAGCACAGTGAGTACCTCTACAACACGTGTACAGGCAGCACAGTGAGTACCTCTACAACACGTATACAGGCAGCACAGTGAGTATCTCTACAACACGTGTACAGGCAGCACAGTGAGTACCTCTACAACACGTGTACAGGCAGCACAGTGAGTACCTCTACAACACGTGTACAGGCAGCACAGTGAGTACCTCTACAACACGTGTACAGGCAGCACAGTGAGTACCTCTACAACACGTATACAGGCAGCATAGTGAGTACCTCTACAACACGTATACAGGCAGCACAGTGAGTACCTCTACAACACGTGTAGAGGCAGCACAGTGAGTACCTCTACAACACGTGTACAGGCAGCATAGTGAGTACCTCTACAACACGTATACAGGCAGCACAGTGAGTACCTCTACAACACGTGTACAAGCAGCACAGTGAGTACCTCTACAAAACGTGTACAGGCAGCGCAGTGAGTACCTCTACAACACGTATACAGGCAGCACAGTGAGTACCTCTACAACACGTGTAAAGGCAGCACAGTGAGTACCTCTACAACACATGTACAGGTAGCACAGAGACTACCTCTACAACACGTATACAGGCACTCCACCACACGTGTACTGGCAGCACAGTGAGTACCTCTACAAGACATGTACAGGCAGCACAGTAACTACCTCTACAACACATGTACAGGCAGCACAGTGACTACCTCTACAACACGTATACAGGCAGCACAGTGAGTACCTCTACAACACGTGTACAAGGAGCACAGTGAGTACCTCTACAACACGTATACAGGCAGCACAGTGAGTACCTGTACAACACGTATACAGGCAGCACAGTGAGTACCTCTACAACATGTCTACAGGCAGCACAGTGAGTACCTCTAAATCACATGTACAGGCAGCACAGTGAGTACCTCTAAATCACATGTACAAGCGGCACAGTGAGTACCTCTTCAACACGTGTACAGGCAGCACAGTGAGTACCTCTAAATCACATGTACAGGCAGCACAGTGAGTACCTGTAAATCACATGTACAAGCGGCACAGTGAGTACCTCTTCAACACGTGTACAGGCAGCACAGTGAGTACCTCTACAACACGTGTACAGGCAGCACAGTGAGTACCTCTACAACACGTGTACAAGTGGCACAGTGAGTACCTCTACAACACGTGTACAGGCAGCACAGTGAGTACCTCTAAATCACATGTACAAGCGGCACAGTGAGTACCTCTAGAACACGTGTACAGGCAGCACAGTGAGTACCTCCTCAACACGTGTACAGGCAGCAAAGTGAGTACCTCTACAACACGTGTACAGGCAGCACAGTGAGTACCTCTAGAACACATGTACAGGCAGCACTGTGAGTACCTCTAGAACACATGTACAGGCAGCACTCTGAGTACCTCTACAACACGTGTACAGGCAGCACAGTGAGTACCTCTAGAACACGTGTACAGGCAGCACAGTGAGTATCTCTACAACACGTGTACAGGCAGCACAGTGAGTATCTCTACAACACGTGTACAGGCAGCACAGTAACTACCTCTACGACACGTGTACAGGCAGCACAGTGAGTACCTCTACAACACGTGTACAGGCAGCACAGTGAGTACCTCTAGAACACGTGTAGAGGCAGCACAGTGAGTACCTCTAGAACACGTGTAGAGGCAGCACAGTGAGTACCTCTACAACACGTGTACAGGCAGCACAGTGAGTACCTGTAGAACACGTGTACAGGCAGCACAGTGAGTACCTCTAGAACACATGTAAAGGCAGCACAGTGAGTACCTCTAGAACACGTGTAGAGGCAGAACAGTGAGTACCTCTAGAACACGTATACAGGCAGCACAGTGAGTACCTCTAGAACACATGTAAAGGCAGCACAGCGAGTACCTCTAGAACCAGTGTAGAGGCAGCACAGTGAGTACCTCTAGAACACCTGTAGAGGCAGCACAGTGTGTACCTCTAGAACACGTGTAGAGGCAGCACAGTGAGTACCTCTAGAACACGTGTACAGGCAGCACAGTGAGTACCTCTAGAACACGTGCACAGGCAGCACAGTGAGTACTTGCTGAATTAGGACTGATGGTCATCAAGGTCATTGCTACTGCTAGGTCTTTGTGGCCTTAAATGATGATTAACTTCACCTGTGGCCATGTGGTTTACTCACAAGTCGACGTATAATCGAATTGATGTTCAAGTTTGCACCGATATCTGCGTCATACATGCAAATATCTTGCCATGGCGTATTTTCTGAAAGTCTACATCTTGTTTCCTCAAGAAAGTCAATATTTAGTACTCTTGTCTTTGTGCTTTCCAGCGATAGCTGCACACAGTTCATTTACTTCAATTGTTTTGTTCTACAGGATTACCAATTGGAGCATGCGCAGGCAGCCTTCTGTCTATGACGGCAGTCTCTCATCCAGAAATCAGTGTGTCGCGAAGTGAGAATCAGCCTCTTTCTGAATCTGAGAAAGGTCACGGTCACTCTCATTTAACCAATGAGCTCCCGTCGTCAGTAGCAACGATTGCATGGATGGTGATTCTTGGAGACGGTATCCACAACTTCAGTGACGGCCTTGCACTGGGTGCAGGCTTTGCCAACAGCATCACAGGTGGTATCAGCACCACCATCGCCATTTTCTGTCACGAACTTCCACACGAGATAGGTAGGATATAAAACCAGTTCCAAACAACTGAACCTCGTTCACTCGAATTCATCCCACTTATCAGTTAGGCATTCAATTACTGAGACCTTATGTAGAGTGTACCTTATGGGTAATTTCGACTTAACCGAGTTCGAGCCCTGCATTTGTGTCAACTAACATGTTAGTCTGGCTGACAAGGGTGTGAAAAGCAAGTTGTTATAAAAGGTTTCTGTTAGAACACAATGTGGTATAAAATGATTTCATCCGATTGAAGTCGGGAGTATACTACTCAAAATAAGTTAACTATATTCAGTACATTATGACTCCAATTGTGGGTGTTATTTAACTTATTTTGAGGAGCATATGAAAAAAGAAAGTCATGGGTAACTCTGTCAGGCCAATGACACCCGAAATTAACCGTGATCGCCCGAGTTCTCTTCCTCTGCTTGTTCTCCTTACAAGGTAACTCGCAGGCAGATTACTTTATACATTATCACACAGGGTGGAAGCGCTGTCCACGCGAAATGTGGAGTTGCCCCAAAAGCAACTCCATTTCCTCGCTGGACAGTGTAAGAAGAACATGTGGCGCAAGAGTAATGGTAAGTTTTCCCTCGCATTTTCATTATTTTGCAAGTATATCAGGTTTTGGCAGACGGGTCTAGAAATTTCAATTTTTTCTATAATAGCTTGACACCCTCTCTATTTATTGCAATTGCGCGTTAAGCGAGGGCACCCTCCAAACAAGATCGCGGAAAATGATCGTTTCAACACGAAATATGACAACCTCATCAGCACACACGCCTTTTTTTGCTGTCAGTTCTTAGATATAGTTATTTTAGGTCTTCATTCACAGTTTAGACTTTAATGCGTCGGCATTTTTTCAGTTATCGTCGAAAAATCAAACTGTACATGTTATATGCAGTTGTGTTGAAACTGTCCATTGAGTTGAATGTTTAGGTTGAAGTAACTGTCCATGTAGTAACATGAACTGTCGAAATTCCACAGTTGTTGATACCCCTTTCCACAGACTTGGCAATGAAAACGGTAGTTGTTGTGATGGATCCCCTAAATGCTATGTTCACACTATCACGATTCGCGCCACGGTTGAAATAGTGGTCTTAATTGTGGACTAATCGTGGTGATCCTATCAAATCTTATCAGATCTTGAGGTCAGGTGTGGCAATCGTTTTTGATCGTAGTAAAATTTTGGACGGTTCAAAAAATTCCTACGATCAACACAATTAATTGTCAATCGTGATCATCGCATCAGATAGTATTGCATCATAACAAAGCACAACATATCGCATCTAATCGTGCTTAGAAATCGTAGTGGTCGGAATCAATCGTGGACAAGACAAACACCACGCTCTGTTGAGATGTGTTGCGATCTCCCACGAACTTTGACGCTCTGTCGGGTCCCATTGCTAACAACCTGACACGAATGACTCACGAGTAGATACGGGTAAATGCAAGTAGATACGAATATTGAAGTTTTTCACGGACGCTCACGATCTGTTACGAGTTCTTGCGCCCATATATGTAATGGAAATCAGAATAACTGCGCCTTCGGGAGTTCCCTCTGATCTTTGCATTTGCTCTGACTGATTTGCGAGGTGCAGAAGGGGTTTTTTGTTTTGGTTTTTTTAAGTATTTTCATTTCCCAAAGTACATTTGGTGTTTTCATAATACATTGTACAAAACATCATACACAACGTCCTCGTCATCAATTTGTTGTTGTCATAATATATTGTACAAAACGTCATACAAAACATCCTCGTTATCAATTTGTTGTTGTCATAATACATTGTACAAAACGTCATACAAAACATCCTCGTTATCAATTTGTTGTTGTCATAATACATTGTACAAAACGTCATACAAAACATCCTCGTTATCAATTTGTTGTTGTCATAATACATTGTACAAAACGTCATACAAAACATCCTCGTTATCAATTTGTTGTTGTCATAATACATTGTACAAAACATCATACACAACATCCTCGTCATCAATTTATTGTTGTCTTTATACATTGTACAAAACATCATACACAACATCCTCGTCATCAATTTGTTGTTGTCATAATACATTGTACAAAACATCATACACAACATCCTCGTCATCAATTTGTTGTTGTCTTTATACATTGTACAAAACATCATACACAACATCCTCGTCATCAATTTGTTGTTGTCTTTATACATTGTACAAAACATCATACACAACATCCTCGTCATCAATTTGTTGTTGTCTTTATACATTGTACAAAACGTCATACAAAACATCCTCGTTATCAATTTGTTGTTGTCATAATACATTGTACAAAACATCATACACAACATCCTCGTCATCAATTTGTTGTTGTCTTTATACATTGTACAAAACATCATACACAACATCCTCGTCATCAATTTGTTGTTGTCATAATACATTGTACAAAACATCATACACAACATCCTCGTCATCAATTTGTTGTTGTCTTTATACATTGTACAAAACATCATACACAACATCCTCGTCATCAATTTGTTGTTGTCATAATACATTGTACAGAACATCATACACAACATCCTCGTCATCAATTTGTTGTTGTCTTTATACATTGTACAAAACATCATACAAAAACATCCTTGTCATCAACACTGTGCAAGCATCATCACCATCAATACAAACAATCATCATTATATGTTCAGGGTGGATTTACTATAATGTATCTGTTATCTTTGCCCAAGGCTAATATGTATACAAATATTCAGATGTACTTGTCAAATGGTATTATACTTATATAACATCTAGGTTGGTATAGTTAGCAAAAGTGTATGGAAGGAGGACCTGGAAGGAGGACCAGAAAGCATAAAATTTTGCTGGGTTTGCATCAGAAAATGCTGTATATTTGGTAGCTTTATAGTAGTTGAGTATTTCCCTTTGAAGCACTTTAAAATCTGGCTTTATATTATTTCGGCTTGGTTTATATAGCATAGATTTCACTATTAAAAACACCAGATTAAGTGGGTTGTTGTTTTACCTTTGAAACCAAAGATAATATTTTCGTGCGACAAGTTAATATTTCCTTCAGACAATATATCAAGCCAATCGGATACTTCCTTCCATAATTTCACGGTATAACGGCATTCGCACAATAAATGAATGATTGTTTCAGGAACAGATTCACAGAATGAGCACATTGAAGAGTCCGTGTAATTCACCAAGTGTAACTTATGTTTAGTCATTAAAATCTTGTGAGGTGCAGAAGGTTGAGCCACATCTAGACAGTCCCCTTGGTCCTCCATGCTCCTGGGATGACATGGTGGTTTTCATCCTCATGGCCCACCTATTGGGCTGCAATGCCTGGATGCCTCAGCCTCAGGAGGTTGTGCAGAGCCACTGCCGCCTTCACTATGTCTTTCACAATATTGGGCATCTGCCCTACTGTCATGAGGAGACACCTGAATCTATTGGCCAGGATCCCAAAGGTATTTTCCCACCATTCTCCTCCCTCTTGAGAGTCCCTTCTTCCTGGACATGCTTCTTCTGCTGTATGGTTTCATGAGGTAGTTCCTGAGTGCGAAGGATGAAGAAGGGCATCTCTTCGTGGTCATCAGGGCTTGCAGTCAGAGGGCAGGGTAGGGGAAGTTCTAAGTCTTCCTCTTCCATGTCGTTGACCAGCCCCGAGTCACCACATATAATTAGCATCTGCCAGTTTGAGGTGGCTTCTTGATAGCAATGTGGTCGCCATCCAGGGCCCCAATGGCGTGGGATATATCCATCTCTGTTCCAACTGGTTAGCTACGGCTGTCCAGTCTTCTGGAGGATCCTCCAGCCTCAAATGGGTTTCTAGGAGGCTGGAGACCTGACCAAACTGTTATCCCCTCTCCATAATGAGCCATGGCCGTACCCAGGAGTGCCTGACTGCAGCTCTCCTGGGCCTTTGTGGTTGGAGTTGTATCTGGTCTGGCTGCTGCTCGTCTTGTGTCATTTGGATTTCTGCTTAAACAACGGCCATTGACTTGTCCATATCGCTGGTGCCACCGGTGGAACAAAGGAAGTCATTATTGTATTTGATTTCGCTCATTCAACATTGGTTAGATGCCCCTTGGTTTTCAGATGCTTAGTGATGTGCTTTACCCGAATGTGCAATGCTAATATCTCAATGATAGTATGAACAATGTACATACTTTGGAATAACCTGGGCTCACAAGTTTTCGTAGCGATATCGTAAGTCATTGTTACAGTATAGTACGTACGAATGCTACGAGAAAAGTTATGAGATTTTAGGCTTACGAGAGCTTTGTGAAACGGGGCCCTGGACTTGGTTATTCCTGGGGTAGATGTATATTTGTATATGTGTTAATACACTTCTGATCGTACATGATTTTTAAAAATTAAATCTCTGTTAGGGTACAAACTGCAATGTGGGTGTACAATCGTACTTGATGGTACAAAATCGTAATAAATACGCCAAAATACGCCAGGTAGGCAGGTCTACAACAAAACATTCTTCTTCACAACAAATATCTCTAGAATAACGTTTGATGACATGACGGTTAAAACTACAAACTGTCAACTCCCTGGACAGTAAAATTACAACGCAATGGACAGTTTGTTTGCTAAATGTGAGCAACTCCATATAAAATGTACAGTTTGAATTTGCGACGATAACTGAAACAATACTGACACATTAAAGCCTAAACTGTGAATGAAGACCTAAGACAACTATACAAAAGGCGTGTGTGCTGATGAGGTTGTCATATTTCGTGTTGAAACGATCATTTTCCGCGATCTTGTTTCGACACTCAGGAGGGTGCCCTCGCTTAACGCGCAATTACAATAAATAGAGAGGGTGTCAAGCTATTATAGAAAGATCTGTAAATTTCCAGACCCTTCTGCCAAATGGCAAAACCTGATGTTCTTGCAAAATAATGAAAATGCGAGGGAAAACTTACCATTACTCTTGTTCTTCTTTCACTGTCCAGCGAGGAAATGGAGTTGCTTTTGGGGCAACTCCACATTTCGCGTGGACAGCGCTTCCACCCTGTGTATCAGGAGAAATTGCTGTATGATGTTTCTTCAGAACTGTGTACAGCACAGCTGGTGCTATCTCTGTCGTTGTTCACAGGAGACTTTGCCGTGCTGCTGCAAGCGGGGATGTCGGTGAAGCAGGCCATCGTCTACAACTGTGTTTCCTCGTTGCTCTGCTTCTTTGGGATGGTCATTGGTGTTCTCATTGGTAACGTGGGACAAGCCTCTCTTTGGATCTTTGCCTGTATAGCAGGAACCTTCCTCTACATCGCTCTGGTTGACATGGTGAGAGTGGCTTTATGGATTTAACATTACCTTCATATGTTTGTTGTTTGTGATCCTAGTTCAAGCAATTAAGATCGGCTATTGGGACATACAGAATCTAAGAAGAGCTGATTATATTCTACGTGACTGTAGTTTATAGATTATTTATAGTCATATAGAAAAAACCCTGTTGGTTTTTCAACAAAAAGTTGAATGTTTAAGAGGTTTTACTGCAGTAACTACTAGTAATATTACGCAATTAATTTTGCTAACATCTTATCCTTTTAACTATATACGTACTGCCAGTAACATTGCCAGAAAGTGATCTATTGATGCACAGGTCATCAAAACCAGCCTTGATATTGCTGGAATATTGCTAAATGCCTCGTAAAAACACACTCACTCATTCATCAAACCTGAAGAAATTTTCATTATATTTCAGCTTCCCGAATTATGTGTAGCGCCGACGAAGGGAGATAACCCGTACTGTATACTTGGCATACAGCTGTTGGGGATTTTGGTTGGAGCGAGTATTATGGCTGTGATAGCGGTCTTTGAGCACAGCTTGATTAAGCTGCTGGACATGTGACGTACACGGCTGTATTATAGTCGTTAAATTATAGGGTACGTTAATACTGTGTGACGAGCTGATTTCCATGTTCAAACACACAGGTTAACCAAGTTGGTCGTGCAGAACTCAAATTGTGAAAACAAAGACATTGTACTGAAACGCACAGTTTTAGGTTTACAATAAGGCCTTTCTACGGGCCAAACAAGTGAGAGCATCATAAGTAACAGGAATTACCAGAACTGACGTGAGTGCACGAGCTAACGTTCTGAATATTGGTAGCTATTTGCCAGCACTGAAAGAAACCTGTGTCCCCTTTTGAATCCACAATAATGTAGGGAGCTGATAAGAATTATGTGTTTTCAATTACGTATCCAATTCACACTTGACAAATACATGAGAAACAAGTCAGGTAGGAAGTGCCTCGAAGAGCCTTATCCTACACCTGGAGAGTTTCTCATTCTCTTTCTCAACAATGAAGCTGGTGACGTTCGTTAAACAAACAGACAGAGAATTGTCGGTATATTCCTCTCGCTGAAGCTTAAATAAGTAAAAGATAATAGCCTCTTTTGACACATCACTGGTTTGGTGTGGTTAGAGGTTTAGGGCACTAGCTTTGGTTGATATGACCTGGAATCGCCCTTATGCAACACTTAGAGAGGTACAGTCAGACTTCTAGAAACCTTCTCATCCCAGAACCAAATCATGCCAGGCCATATTCGTAAACAAGAAGACAGAGAACTGTACATTCCACTCGCTGACGTCCAAATACAAGACAGCAGTCTCTACTGCAACACCCCAACTGCCCTATCCCGTATCGACTGGTTTGGTATGTTTCGATGTTAACGGCACCAGTTGTAGTTCATATGGTCTCAGTTATGCTTTGACTTGTTATGTTACAGTATTAGATGACTATTGTACCACCTTCCAGGGTGTACGATTTACGTGAACGAAATAAGATGTTTTAAATGCCTTCCATATATTTTAATAAAACATTCCAATACAATTGCCTTGTGTTTTGGAGTACATGCTGCGTGTATACACATGGAAAAAAGCATCGCAACATCCACTCTCTGTCTTAGCATCAGTCTGTTACCACTAACCATAGCAAAGGAACTTAACCAAACCTCAGTTTAACTTACTATCTGGATAAATACAACCTCTCAAGGAATAATTTGGTGCTGAGAAGCATAGAAGCTTAATCGGGCAAACCGGCAGCCGAAAAGGCTTGGTCTCTGTACATTCAAAACCAGTTATTACTTTGCGGTTGTGTCAAATCTCGAATATTTCGAAGGATACACTTCAACACAACGGCGTTTGACTTCCAAGAAGTAGGAATCTGACTCAATAAACAACGTGGTTGTTCCATGAAAAACACTAGAGCTATAGATTGAAAACATATTTATTACCTAAATATTGTTGCTAAGGGTAACAATAATAAAAAAATGCTTATAATATATCATAGAAGAATTTGCACAAGACGTGAAAACACGTTTTATGTTACTTCAATGCAGACAAACATCTTGTGATTAAACCGAGTCTAAATCGGCTTCACGGGATTTATTCTGTTCTCGTAGTGGTAGGAAAATATTTTAACACTCAAAACGGAGGTCAACCCTGTAGGACACACGTGTGATGTACATGTATGTTACAGAACACGAGCATCATCACCGCGTGGGTAATAAAATAGTTAGCAGTCAGCTGTGGTGCCGTGTGCAATACAGGATGAGAGTAATGACGTCAAACAGTAGTGGTCACATGACAGAACATTATGATTTTGACTTAACTAGGCTTTGAACTTTTACCACGGCGTAACGTTCTTATGTGGTATGGAAGTATATCGTGGTGCTTACTTCATTGGTGACACAAAACACAGCTATGGTGCTGACAAATCAATCTATATACTCAGGGGTAATCTAGGATTCAAACCTACGGACAGATGGTTATGACACGATAAAGGGAGGCAACTCAACAAATTGCAGTGTCTTAGACCTCTAGGCAACCTTTTACCGAAATGAAGTACGTAAAAACACATAGAAACACATTGAAAAATATACATTCAATTTTCTTAATAATGATGAAAGCTCTGAAAAAAATATAAGGCGATGAATTGTAGCGTTGAGTTGTATTATGCATGAAACGCACAGTGTCTAAGCGGTAATTCACCGATCAACCTTTGTCACAGTTATATGTTGAATAATTTAGCTGACTGGAACACTTGAGACATGTATGTCAACTTTACTGGCACAGTGACCCGGCTCCGTAGGAACAGCCGAGTCATCGTGATTCAGGTTTGTAAACTAGGTCGTGTCGTTCACGATGTCTTCAGCACCTATCACGTCTCACAGATCTCGCCCTAGTCGGTCGATCTCGGACACGACGAAGTCCATGTCGTGGAATGTGCTGTTGGTGTTCGACACAACCATCCGGAAGAAATTCACTCTGTGTCCATCAGGTTGGTAGCCAATCAGAAGAGTTCCTTCTTCTGTCATGCGTTGTTTGATGAGGGGCGCCACCTAGTGAAAGAGGTCAAACGTTCAGGTTATCCTCCTTATTAATAATGCTGTCAAATTCATATCATTATTGCAATCAACCCATTGTTCATTGTGAGAACATATGTTCATGTCACTGGGGGACTGGTTAGGCCACACCCACAAATGAATGTTTGGAAGGTGTGGGGGATGCCACATCATACTGCCAGGTACCCATTTGCTGCTGGGTGAAGAGAGTCCAGTTAAAAAGGCCCCATGCTAGAATACAATATTATAACACGCGCGCTTTAATGCGGGGCAGGGCTGTATACACCGCCCCCTCCCCAGGAAAACAGCACCAAACAACAACAACCAACACAACAATAAGCAAAAATGAATGAATGAATGAATGAATGAATGAATGAATGAATGAATGGACGCTTGTCCCGCGTCAGTATTGTCTGCCTTCAACTGTGACGGTGTTCTACATACGACCAGATACCGTCACATTACAGCAAGAAAACAAGCATCTGCTATATCTGTTGTATTTGTGCATGCTATAGCATGTTATAGCGTGACGCATGCACGCTGCAGATTCCCAGTAATTACTCGTCGCGCTGACTATACAGTCATTGTACACCTGCAAGTCCACACTAGTTTCAATCTTATAAGGATCTCACAACCACACACACACACACACACACCCACACACACACGATTTGATCAATGATTCATTGCAATAAAAACTTCACACATCGTTGATTCTGATATATTTCTGGCAAATAATAACACGCAAGTTTACCCTTGATTCTTTGAGCAGAGTACTACGCAGCATTTCGCAATGTCCTATTTATGATGCGATACACCGGGGAAAAAATTACTGTATACATGTACATCAGATTGTATCCAGCCTTCATGCAGCATCACTGCACAGGCACCCACTGCGGGTCAGAAAATCGACAAACTAAGCCCTGGTTTATTATCCAGCCCCACTACTATATAACATGTAAAGGTTCATCACAGAAATACGGTGACATGATCGAAAACCGGACAATTATGCACACATCAACCGATATATCGTATTTTCAAGGTCTCACAAATATCAAAAGCTTTTGTCCATATCTCTGATGTGTGTAGGAGGCATATACACATGCTTCCCGTGGGGATGCATTTGTTGGTTTTTATCAAATCGCCAAAAACCGAGTTGCTGTGCCGGAAGTATACAAAACTAGGCCGTCAGCGCAATCAAATTGGTTAATAAAATGACAACAAATGCACGTGAGAAAATGAGAGGGAAACTCAAACGTCTTTCATCCAAGATGTCACGTTCTGATGTTTTATCTTGGTAAGAATAATTTTAAAAACAATAACAATATTTTTTATATAAACACATAATAATCCATTCATTCAGTGTAATGTGTTAGCCAATCAGATCGCCGGAGGTAGTGAAGTCAAGCGCTGACTACCTATTTTTGTATACTTCCGGCACAGCAACTCGGTCTTTGGCCATTTAATAAAAAACATCAAATGCATCCCCACGGGAAGCATGTGTATATGCCTCCTACACACATCAGAGATATGGACAAAAGCTTTTGATATTTGTGAGACCTTGAAAATACGATATATCGGTTGATGTGTGCATAATTGTCCGGTTTTCGATCATGTCACCGTATTTCTGTGATGAACCTTTACATGTTATATAGTAGGGGGGCTGGATAGTAAACCAGGGCTTAGTTTATCGATTTTCTGACCCGCAGTGGGTGCCTGTGCATCACTGGCCTAATATATCCAGACATACTTTCGATAGCGCCTCCCACCAGGCTCTGTCTTCCGTTTTATTGCGCATGCTCAGAGGGATGTACCAGAAGCAGACATTTGTGCATTCAGGCTGCAACACAGGAAATACTCACATTTATACACTATACAAAATATATATAGTGACGGTATGTGGAAATCATCATTGTCGTGAAACCCTCGACCATAGGTATGTTACTGACAAACCTCAAAACAATTGTTATAATTATGGCAAACGGGATTCGAATCAATAATTACAGGTATGGGCATAACCCAGGGACGCACATTGCGCGCCATGGACGGCCACCTGCACTTTTCGAGTCGACAGGTGGTTATAAATAAATACATTGTCCTTAACATTTATTAGTATTTAAGACATATTACTCATCTTTTGTTAATGAATAAAAGGTTAAGTGGCCAAGATTCAGTGGCAAGTATCCAACCTGATAATGTCGTTATATATTGTTTACCACGAAAATATCGATTGAATTTATTCATAGCATTACTAGCAACTCTATGTTTTTTATTGACAGACATCTGTCTTCACTCAAAGGTGTGGTCCGCAATTACTGAGGAGTAGTAATCATCCATCACGCAGTGACTCGTGACTATTGTCTTTAGGGATTACAATGGCTTACTGTGTTTTATGCTATGTTACGTGAGAGTTTCAGTGAGCTACGGTACCTCTTCTAGGACAAGTCTGAACCCATTGGTTGCCTGAAGCTTCTTAGTTAGATACCTGCAATTATAATACAAATGAATGAAATCACGTACAAGGCAACCGTGAATTTGATTAATAAAGGTCACATGCAACGCAAAGCTAAACTTTGCAGATTCTGATACCTTTCGGTATTGACTTACAGTAACAAATTATCAAAAATGCAAATCAACTTATAAAGTTGAAAAATAACGCGATGAAAAAAACCCCGCGAAATTGGGTGAAAAGTGGTTTCAACAGCTGTGCTGCGCTGCGCCCGTAGCGCGTGCACAGTGATTAGGTTCGCGCGGCTTGAACCGGGAAGGCGACTCGTAAAAACACAGCAAGTGATGCGTGCAAGAATTATCGCTGTTGTCGAAGTTGGAGAACAAAAGATGTTTCTTGTGATTACAAGCATCTTTGGTCTGCAGTAATAAAAATGCACTGGTCCCATACTTTTTCTTATATGTTTTCACATCTTGCTTTTTGGGGGTTGGCAGATTTGCAAACCAAGTTTTCAAGAAAGTGTAGCGTTAGAAATACTAATTTCTTTGTTTATAATTGCTCAGCTTGAAAACTGAAATGTTTTAATACATGTCTATGGAAACAGAAAAATATGTTGATTGTGATAAGCAGTCACTGTCACAGACAAAACTCAATGTCTGTTTTATTGACACCTATGTGTCTGCCTGCCTGTCTGCTAATGACTATATGCACTACACAACTTCAATCATTGACCACATGCAATTTGAACTTGAAACGTATCAGGCTATACACCATAAACACAATACATTGATGTATGGCTCGTGCACCTGTCTCTGTCACATTATGTAATTACACAGACAGGCAAGATACTTGTACACATGACATGCTATTACGTCTGTTGGTTGCAAAGCAACAGCATCCATTTTTCTCGGATGACTGGATCGGACGGAAACCGGTGCAAACTCAGATTGTCAGTTTCAAGTCCTGCTTTGTACTTGAACGAACGACAGTTTCCAGCCACGCAGTAGTTCATCATCTCAGTATTTGTTGACTGGATCGAACACAAATGCAGAAAAAATGAGCATGTATTTAGCATATCGGCAAATGAACCAGCCAATGAAAACTTTCGTTACACTTGAGTGCACACCCACCCGTTTGACTGGGTTTGGTATCCCTGGTGCTTCGTTTCGAGGGAAGTAAATCCAAGTACCAAATATTGCACTTTTGATTTGCGATTGTACGCTTATAATTTTGTTTATTTGTTTTGTCATAATCAGCAATGCATATTACATGTCATGAATTAGTGATAATTGTGTTTTAATTCAAGTTTGTTTTTTCGTTTTACCACCAATATAAATACTAAGTAAAACATGAATATTTTCCATTATGAATCAGATCTGATTACACTTAACAGACATGTATAGGCGAGTCCGTCATCGTGGCGTCTAATTACCCTGTTTGTCTCGCCATGTCTAAGCCAGGATCAAATAACAGAAAATAATTAAATATGTTACCAAAATAGCTGATATTTGCAGTTTGAATTAATCTAGTTGTTTGACAACCAGAAAGAATTTATTCATTGCGGTCGGTGGTTTAACATGCATGTGACACTTCATTGTCCTTGTATAATGTTTTACATACAGATAGGGAACGTGAAGGGATCTCCACTCACCTCGAACAAGCAAATATATTGTCGATATCTCTCTCGAACTGTAGATCTCCTTTGGCTTTCCACATCATCCAGAGCTTGAGGACGTCCACCTTGCGGCCACACTGGACGGACTTGTCCCCGGTGTCGTAGCTGACGTCGTAGAACTTGTCTTGCTGGAACAGATACTTGGCCTTGGCAGAGTGGCACTCAGACAGCAGGTTCTGAAACAAGGGCATGGTCACGGTCGAGCAGATTCGGAAGTAAAGGCAGAGTCATGGTCACGCAGATTCGGAAAGAACGTTGAGTGACAGTCACACAGGTTTTACACAACTAATTCACAGGAACAGAGAATCTGAAACAGTGTCTAAGTCAGAGTCACGCGGATATTAAAATCAAGTTGAATTCACAGTCCGAAACAAGATCCGAGTGACAGCCACACGGGTTCTGAAAGCAGGACGGTGTCACAGTGAACCTCAGACAGAGGTTCTGAAGTGAGAGAGTGAAAGTTATTTTACACCACAGTCAGTACTGATGCAGTGGTTCCCTGTAGATAAACATGCCTGTTGATGTTAAATATAGGAAGTGGGCAGCTGGGCCTACCTTGTGCCGTGTGAGGAAAGCGGAGGTCTGTAGCACAGTTCCCATCATCTTGTGGGGATTCCACGTCAAGGAGTCAGCTCTACAAACCGAAAGTGACTGCACATATTATAAGGATTTCTAACTTTTCTCTGCGTCCACTACCCATTTAGCCATTAGATTCCGTACATAAAAGCGACAAAACTCTTTCCATGGCCATAAGATATTTCCAGGCACTAAGACCAAAGTTCATTGACGGGTACTACTATACCGGAAGTTAATCATGACAAGGAAACACAATGGTAGGGTCGAAATAGGGAATTGCATCGGGCAAATTGGGAAATGTCCTCAACATATCAACCATAACACGTTATGGGTTTTACATATTGTTTGAATATTGTTACCCTGATGAAACACCTTTTGAGCAAGAGTCGTATAAAGAACATGCCTACCGCTCTATTCCCTTCATGAGGTGTTTGAGACTTCGTGACAGGAGCACCCCAGCGCCCCACGCGCCGTCCACGTGCATCCATATCCCATACTTCTCACATACGTCGGCGATGTCGACGAGCGGGTCGTATGCCCCGAGTACTGTCGTGCCCGCGGTCGCGTTGACCATCACTGGAACCATTCCCTGCAAGTGTCAGATCGATGGGTAATTTCAGTATAATGTATAAGCAGCAGGTGATGTCATGTGTGTGCGTGCGTGCGTGCGTGCGTGTACTGCGGCGTAAGATAAAACTCACTCACGGGTTCTAAAGTCATTAGGTACAATGTGTGAAGCCCATTTCTGGTGTCCCCCCGCCGTGATATTGCTGGAATATTGCTAAAAGCGGCGAAAACCACACTCAAGCACTCACTCTAGTCATTAAATTCATTAATCTGTACACATTCACCTTTGAATGGTGCAAAATCCTGAAAACAGTGGATGTGATTTGAGAATTTGAGAAATTCTTGTGTACGAACATTTCCTTTGGCTTTCAAAATGGCGTCCTCGAGAGCAGACTGCAGCATCCTGCCCTTGTCGTCACACTTGACGGCGATGACATTGTCCATACCGAGGCCAAGGAACGACGCCCCCTTCTTCATTGAGTAGTGTCCCTGCAACGTCAACGGTGACGAGAGTCAATGTCATGATGAAATATAGGCCCGTTCACGCATTAAACTAGTTGGTAAGACAAGTTGCATACAGCAGGTTGAATTGCGTGACAGTCATCTCAGAAAACGAGCCCAAATACTCTTTCACAAATACTAAAACAACTGTCTTGCATTAGCATAAATCGATTCATATACTGTAAACGGCGTGTGGTCGCTAACATGAGTAAGATAATTCAGTGAAATAATAAAGTGCATATGTAATGATTTAGATGAGATTTTGCAGGACTACGCTGATAACGTCTTTACCCAAAGGGACATTGTACGTACAATGACGTTTAGTACCATTTTACCAAAGGGCTGCTCGGGATATCATCCGATATAAACTGCAGGGCAAAATGAACTACATACCCATGTTAGATCAAGGCTAAAATTGAAATAATCAAGAAATGTTTTAAACCTTTGGTTAGTGGTGTTCCGGTGACTGATTTCAGTCTCGTAACATTTTGATTACGTCAGTAATGTTTCAGCGAAATTCGATAGTACACAATCAAGTGTATGCTAGATGTTTTCTTGCAGCGTATACTCCTCCTACAAGCACTAGCATGTGCTGTATCCATGCGTATAGTTCTTATACTGTGCATCCGTGAAGATCCGGGTTAGAATTGATCTTCAGTAACCCATGCTTGTCGTGAGAGGAGACTAACGGAATCGGGTGGTCAGGCTCGCTGACTTGGTCGACACATGTCATCGTATCCCAATTGCGTAGATCGATGCTCATGCAGTTGATCACTGGATTCTCTGATCCAAACTCGATTATTTACACACCGCCGCCATATAGCTGGAATATTGCTGAGAGGGGCGTAAAACTAAACTCACTCACTCACTCACATGTCCGGCAGGTACAGGCCTGCAGACCTGAAAATTATTTATGCTACACTAAATTAACATGTAAGTCTTTGGAAGTTACGTCAAGTGTCCGAATATAACTGGCACGGGTCTGTACTAGCATGTACGGTCAGGGGATGATACATTTTTTGGGAAAGGGGGGTGCACATTTAATTTTCACCCGAGATTCAATGGTCATTTAACAAACTTTCAGCACCAAGGGGGGTGGGGGTGGGGGTCCGCACCCCCCCTGCACCCTCCCCCCTTTCTGGATCCGCCTATGTACTGTATTTATGCGTATAGTTCTACTGACCGAGCCTACAAGGATGACAAAATGTGTCTTTACCGTCTCTGACGTCATGATACACAAGGGAGGTAGTCCTGCCATTCCTGCAGTCTTCACGGAGGGGTATTTGTTGAAGCGAGCCAGGTTGATGGCATACATGTTGGAGACAGAACCACCTGATAGACAACGGAAACGGGAATATGATAACAGAAGGGTTGCGGCCCTCATCAGTGGAATCAAATCTGTATACGTTTAAGGCCGTTAATTCGTTGCAGAAAAAGAATGAGTATACATACCAGGACAGAAGATTGCATCACCATCTTGAAAACCAGCCAGAGAACACATCTTAGAGAGGACGGTTTTCTCCATCAGGGTGAACACTGGCGCCACCTCGTATGTGTACCTGGGCAGGAAGGTAGACAGGTGATGCAGGTGTGGAGGTAAAATAGGTAATGCAAGTGTGAAGGCAAACAGGTAATATAGGTATGAAGGTAAACAGGTAATACAGGTCAACAAGTTATACAGGTGTGAAGGTAAACAGGTAATACAGGTGTGAAGGTAAACAGGTAATACAGGTGTGAAGGTAAACAGGTAATATAGGTATGGCGGTCAACAGGTAATACAGGTGTGAAGGTAAACAGGTAATACAGGTGTGAAGGTAAACAGGTAATATAGGTATGGAGGTCAACAGGTAATACAGGTGTGAAGGTAAACAGGTAATACAGGTGTGAAGGTAAACAGGTAATACAGGTGTGAAGGTAAACAGGTAATATAGGTATGGAGGTCAACAGGTAATACAGGTGTGAAGGTAAACAGGTAATACAGGTATGAAGGTAAACAGGTAATATAGGTATGGAGGTCAACAGGTAATACGGGTTTGAAGGTAAACAGCTTAAACAGGCATGGAAGTATACAGGTATGGAGGTCAACAGGTAATACAGGTGTAAAGGTAAACAGGTAATACAGGTTCGGAGGTCAACAGGCAATACAGGTATGGAGGTAAACAGGTTAAACAGGCATGGAAGTATACAGGTATGGAGGTCAACAGGTAATACAGGTATGGAGGTCAACAGGTAATACAGGTATGGAGGTAAACAGTTAATACAGGTATGGAGGTCAACAGGTTAAACAGGCATGGAAGTATACAGGTATGGAGGTCAACAGGTAATACAGGTATGGAGGTCACCAGGTAATACAGGTTGGAAGGTAAACGGTTAATACAGGTATGGAGGTCAACAGGTAATACAAGTGTGGAGGTCAACTGGTAATGCAGGTGTGAAGGTCAACAGGCAATACAGGTGTGAAGGTAAACAGGCAATACAGGTATAGAGGTAAACAGGTGATACAGATATGGAGGTACACAGACAATGCAGGTTGAAGGTATTACAGGTATGGAGGTCAACAGGTAATACACGTATGGAGGTAAACAGTTAATACAGGTATGGAGGTAAACAGTTAATACAGGTATGGAGGTCAACAGGTAATACAGGTGTAAAGGTAAACAGGTAATACAGGTTCGGAGGTCAACAGGCAATACAGGTATGGAGGTAAACAGGTTAAACAGGCATGGAAGTATACAGGTATGGAGGTCAACAGGTAATACAGGTATGGAGGTCAACAGATAATACAGGTATGGAGGTCAACATGTAACACGGGTATGGCGGTAGACGGGTAATACAGGTGTTGGGGTTAACAGGTAATGCAGGTGTAGAAGTAGACGGGTAATACAGAAGTAATTAAACATAAGATCTAATGTTATGAATACAGCCAAACAGAACATGATAGAGGTATACACAACTTAATATGGAAATGCATTTAATAAGGAAGTAAACACAGGTAAACACAAGTAATTACACCTGTATGCAGTAAAATGAGACAAAACAGTTGTTGCGACACACAGAGGTACATAAAAGGAAATAATTATATTTTAGCTCACTGGCTGGTGTTGAGAGATTCAGTTAGCCACGCCCCTGCCAGAGTGTATGGGTCGAATCCGCCATATAACTGGTTGAAAAAATGGGGATGTCCTGAAAGGAAACAACGGTAGTGTTGTTCATACTATATACAGGTAAAGGTGTTGTTACATATAAGTATAGGTGATATTACACATAGGTATAGGTGATATTACATATAGGTATAGGTGATGTTAGTTACATACAGGTATAGCTGATATTACATACAGGTATAGGTGTTATTACATACAGGTATAGGTGTTATTACATTCAGGTATAGGTGTTGTTACATACAGGTATAGGTGTTATTACATTCAGGTATAGGTGTTGTTACATACAGGTATAGGTGTTATTACATTCAGGTATAGGTGTTGTTACATACAGGTATAGGTGTTATTACATACAGGTATAGGTGTTGTTACATACAGGTATAGGTGTTATTACATACAGGTATAGGTGTTATTACATACAGGTATAGGTGTTGTTACATACAGGTATAGGTGTTATTACATACAGTTATAGGTGTTATTACATTCAGGTATAGGTGTTGTTACATATAAGAATAGGTGATATTACACATAGGTATAGGTGATATTGCATACATGTTTAGGTGATATTGCATATAGGAAAAGATGATGTTTGTTACATACAGGTATAGCTGATATTACATACAGGTATAGGTGTTATAACATACAGATGCATGAACGGACTTACTCCAATATACAAACATGTATAGGTGTTCTTTCATTAAGTATATCATGCAATTTTGGGCATCAGTCGTTAACATGATGCATAATGAATAAATAGGTCTACTCGGTGTTGTTTTGAATGACCCTTGCCGCCCTTGCTACAGGTCAGTAAGGAAGAGAGTATTTTAGCATTGACATGAGATATAGAGAATACTAAACGATGTCCCGTGTACTACCATATTTTAACGATCTTTCGCTCGTTAGATACCAAACCATTCACAAGTTTTCATAAATATGGTACTAACGGGTATACGTGTTATTACATATGCGGTTGATTGGTTTGGTATCTAACGAGCGAAAGCGAGTTAGATACCAATACCAGTCACGAGTTTCAAAGATATGGTATTACACGGGACATCGTTTAGTATTTTACGTATTACTCACCCAACATTAGCAAAAAAATATATCTGAGAATTCAACTTTCAGAACGAGTGGAATAATGAATGTCAACATTAACTAGTCTATTCAATTTGCATGTATTATGGCAATCTTCTCACACCAATCTGATAAGCCTTGATACAACTGAATTAGCGTACAAACTGGCCTAAAACTCACTCACTCACACTCAGTGCTGTCGTGTAGACGAACCTGACTTGACGCTGTACTTGACGACCTGTTTGGCCATGCTAATGAGTGTCTGGTCAGGTGTCCCGTCTTGGCCAATGTCCAAATCCAAGATGGCCTCCAAATCTTTAGGGTGCTTGAACTCCACCACTTTGCTAAAAGACAGAGAATAACGATTTGCTTAACTCATTTTGACATATTTCCTACAAGCCATTTTGCTAACGTCAGTTGCTGCCTGCAAATTCTCATATGACATTCTACATGTCGACGCCAAGCCCACTTGTGGAAGCAGCCGTGGCTGAGTGGGTTAGATGGCTGACTTTGTGTGCAAACGAGTAGGTGCTTGACTATGACACATGTCATCGTATCCCAATTGCGTAGATCGATGCCCATGCTGTTGATCACTGGACTTCCTGGCCCAGACTCGATTATCTACAGACCGCTGCCATATAGCTGGAATATTGCTGAGTGCGGCGTTAAACAACAAACCAACTAACCAACCAATGTGCAAACCTGGTAACGTCCAGGCCTTCCTGCAAGGCCTCCTTGACCATCACGTCAAACATGGCAGTCAGGAAATCCGTATTCAGAGCACTTCTGGGTTCTGAAAGTAGTGAGCATTGAAATTATAATCAAAATCTGACATACACGCGCCTGTATAGATGTGAGTAAGAGAGTTTAGTTTCACGCCGCTTTTAGCAATATTCCAGCAATATCACGGCGGGGGACACCAGGACTGGGATTCACACATTGTACCCATGTGGGGAATCGAACCCGGGTCTCCGGCGTGACGAGCGAACGCTTTAACCACTGAGCTACCCCACAGCACCCTGTATAAATGTACTTGGGTCAATCCCAAGGGCTTGGACATCCCTAACTGGTCGAGGGTTGGTGCCGATGAACGGTTGCAGGATAACATAGATACCGGTGCCACTGGCGAGGTAAGGACACGCTCTCCTTTCCGCGAACACCTTGTCTGATCATCACTTGATAAACACATGATTATGGTACAGTAGGAAACGCACACTGGATGGAAAAGGGTTTGTAGAGACTGTCTTATCTGCATATAATAAATGAATATAAAAGTTATTTGCAAAGGAATAAATGGTTAATGTGGTTATGCCAACATTACTACACGTGGTGTCGCACTGGTAGAATTAGACTAACGCTTAGTCCCTGAACATATCTAATTTAATTTTGATAGCAACAAATAAAGCCATTTAAATTGAAAAGGAACCCCAGTGAGTTGGGAGATTCCTGAACCTGGGGAAATATAGACTTGCTTCATTTAGGGTTTTAGCATTGCAGGGACAGCTAGGCAGTAGGGAAAATAATGTGGTTCAGGGACTGCATGAGACAAACTATGGTACAATGTCTACCTACTTTTCGCAGGACTAGCGTCGCCACGCCTGACACCATTCTTCACGCCGTTCCGAGCTGCACCGTCCGCCATGTTGGCTGTGTTCGTGACGCCGTTCTGAGCCGCGGTGTTCTGGAATACCTGAAATAAGATTAAAACAACGTAAAAACATCCTCATCACCAGTCCAGCAATGAATGTTTATATGTTCCACCGTTTAGCGGAACCTTTCAATACTTTAGTTCTACATGAATACGGTAACTCGCTTATGCTAAACGTATTAGTTCCATTAAATTAACTATAGTTCCAAAAACCTATCAAGGTTTGAAACATCTGTCACGTATACTTATCAATATGAGAAATCCCATTACATGGAAGCAGCTCTTTCAAACCTTGGACGCACGGAACGCCATTGATAACACCATATGTTCCCAATATCAGTGAGCTTGTGCATCAGCGTCTTCCCCAGGCACGTGTCCACTAGCCTGTATCAAAGCCTAGTAGAGTGAGTGAGTGAGTTTAGTTTTACGCCGCACTGAGCAACATTCCAGCTATATGGCAGCGGTTAGACTAATGCTTAGTCTCTGAATATATATAATTTTGATAGTAACAAACAGGCCCATTTATATTGAAAAGGAGCCCCAGGGAGACCAGAGATTCAGAACCTGGGAAATCTAGACTTGCTTCATTTAGGGCTTTAGCACTGCAGGGAAAATAGTGTGGTTCAGGGACTGTGAGACAGACTAGGCGGCGGTCTGTAAATAATCGAGTATTAGAGACTAGCAGAGACTAGGTTTTCATACAGGACAGTGAACTCTCTTGTCTCGGGAAGGTGACGTATGAGCAACTAAGTGTTCTGTTAAACCTGATCATGATGCAAAGCAGCAGAATCGTCCTGGAAAGTATACTACTCAAAAGACATTAAGGATCACTCGGTTCTATGTCAGATGAACTACAGTCACATGAAAGAATGGAGTGGTCCTATACCTCTTTTAATCATATACTGTACAAATAAACCAGTGTTTACAACCTAAATCATTGCACTATCTGTACCAGCAAGAGTTCTGACTGCTAGAATGGGGGACCTGGAGGACTGGGGGACCTGTTCGACTTTAACATGACATGCTACACTTCAGTATACATGTCGGGTAGATGGAACGTAAGCTTCCTTGCTCTGTTGAACCGGGTTCGATTATTTATATGGTTTCCTTGTCGTGGTGTAGCTGGGATATCACTCGGCAACATTCCAGCTTGATGACGGTGGTCTGTGTTTACTCGAGTCTGGACCAGACAATCCCGACATCATGATCATCGATCAGTTAGCCTGATCACCGGATCCTGGTAGTCGCCTCTTACGAGCGAGATTGATTAGGTTTATGCGTTCTCTATAAAACTTACACAAAACGATTGAGAAGCATACGAGGTGCGCATTGTGCGTACGACTGCGTATGAAAGAAATGTCAATGCGCAACTCATAAGGAATTAGGATACGCAGAAGTGTGACAGAGCCTTGACATGCCATCAAAGTGTCTTAAGGCTATTACAAATACACTCAGCATAGCTATTGACCTCCTGTAGGCAATGTATGTGTGAAACGTCACGTGCAAACAGTGACAGTTTTTAATGGAAACAGTATGTGTGTGTTTGCTATTTAACGCCATACTCGCAATACAGAACAAACTTGTGTTTTACCATGGCCATTGTAGCAGCATAGGACACCATATTACGGTCAAGCTTATCTGGCATGACACTGAGCCACAGACGCAGGATAATTCTACATAAAACCTGCCCAGGTCTATTGCCTGGTAACGTACATGTCCCAGCTAATATTATCATAGTCTTTCCCTTGTTCACATCCACGTACACTTTAAACTATTGACCACGTTATGATTTCCAGCTGTGGACAGCTTGACCAGAGTCTTCCTTTGTGCAAAGTATTACATTATTGACCAAACTGTAAAATCTATCACTAGAATATGATATTAAGAACCACCGATAGGATGTCATGTCCAGTATGGAGTCACATTTAACCAAAAGATATATAATTTTTCACTATAGACCACTGTCGGTTACACGTTCTAGCGTTAGTTTTACAAGCTGGCAGGAAAATAGAAATCTGTAATGCTTATAAATACCTGGGACTATGACTCCATATGAATCTTGACCTACATTGCACAGTTACAGAAAGACGACACCTTTATGTTATTATAAGTGAATTTAAATCTGTCCGCGGTATATCCTATGACGTTTAAATACTCTATTTGATAACTTGCTCACGTTATGGATCAGCTGTTTGGGTTAATACAGAATATAGCTGCATAAAGGCCACCCAAAATAGTAAATGTCAGGTTTTTGGTTGCTGAGAGAACTACCCCTTACGTTGCCTAAGAGGTGAAATGGGTTGGCTGTCAAACATCACAAAATGAAGAATAGCAGTTTTACGTTTTACGTTTCAATATAGCCCTCTGTATTAGTGAATGGTCAAGGTCAACCGAGGTCAATGACTTTATTCGACAATGAGGTACACGCAGGTTGGACATCTGTCGCAGGAAACGTGTTCAAACAACACGGGGTTGACACTCAATGGACACAAGATATAGTGTCAAGGGTGGTAACATTCAGGGGCGTTCTATAGCTACAGGATTAGCGCTGTCGGGTCATGGCTCGGAGCTTATGCAAGACCGACCAACCTGATACTAATACAACAATCAAACAGCTCGATAGGAGGAATTTATGCTTTATATCCTTGTACTCTCATTGATGCCGTTGGTAAGTTGCTGTTGACGTTTCTGTTAGTGTTCCTCGTGATGCCGTTGGTAAGTTGCTGTTGACGTGTCTGTTAGTGTTCCTGTGATGCCGTTGGTAAGTTGCTGTTGACGTGTCTGTTAGTGTTCCTGTGATGCCGTTGGTAAGTTGCTGTTGACGTGTCTGTTAGTGTTCCTGTGATGCCGTTGGTAAGTTGCTGTTGACGTGTCTGTTAGTGTTCCTGTGATGCCGTTGGTAAGTTGCTGTTGACGTGTCTGTTAGTGTTCCTGTGATGCCGTTGGTAAGTTGCTGTTGACGTGTCTGTTAGTGTTCCTGTGATGCCGTTGGTAAGTTGCTGTTGACGTGTCTGTTAGTGTTCCTGTGATGACGTTGGCATTTAAGTGTTGGTGTGATGTTTTTGGCATCTAACTGTTGACGTGATGCTGTTGGTAATTACATGTTGGTGTGATGTTGTTGGTAATTACCTGTTGGTGTGATGTTGTTGGTATTAAGGTGTTGGTGTGATGTTGTTGGTATTAAGGTGTTGTTGTGATGTTGTTGGTATTAAGGTGTTGTGTGTTGTGTGGTATTAAGGCGTGGTGTGTTGTTGGTATTAAAGGTGTTGTGATGTTGTTGGTATTAAGGTGTTGTTGTGATGTTGTTGGTATTAAGGTGTTGTTGTGGATGTTGTTGGTATTAAGGTGTTGTTGTGATGTTGTTGGTATTAAGGTGTTGTTGTGATGTTGTTGGTATTAAGGTGTTGGTGTGATGTTGTTGGTATTAAGGTGTTGGTGTGATGATGTTTGGTATTAAGGTGTTGATGTGATGTTGTTGGTATTAAGGTGTTGATGTGATGTTGTTGGTATTAAGGTGTTGATGTGATGTTGTTGGTATTAAGGTGTTGTTGTGATGTTGTTGGTATTAAGATGTTATTGTGATGTTGTTGGTATTAAGGGTGTTGTTGTGATGTTGTTGGTATTAAGGTGTTGTTGTGATGTTGTTGGTATTAAGATGTTGTTGGTATTAAGGTGTTGGTTTGTGATGTTGTTGGTATTAAGGTGTTGATGTGATGTTGGGTATTAAGGTGTTGATGTGATGTTGTTGGTATTAAGGTGTTGGTGTGATGTTGTTGGTATTAAGGTGTTGGTGTGATGTTGGTATTAAGGTGTTGTTGTGATGTTGTTGGTATTAAGGTGTTGTTGTGATGTTGGTATTAAGGTGTTGTTGTGATGTTGTTGGTATTATTAAGATGTTGTGATGTGTTGGTATTAAGGTGTTGGTGTGATGTTGTTTGTATTAAGGTGCCGTTGTGATGTTGTTGGTATGAAGGTGTCGTTGTGATGTTGTTGGTATTAAGGTGTTGTTGTGATGTTGGTATTAAGATGTTGTTGGTATTAAGGTGTTGGTGTTAAGGTGTTGGTATGTTGGTCGTTGTGTTGTTGGTATTAAGGTGTTGTTGTGATGTTCTTGGTATTAAAGTGTTGTTGTGATGTTGTTGGTATTAAGGTGTTGTTGTGATGTTGTTGGTATTAAGATGTTGTTGTGATGTTGTTGGTATTAAGGTGTTGGTGTGATGTTGATGTTGTATTAAGGTGTTAAGGTGCCGTTGTGATGTTGTTGGTATTAAGGTGTCGTTGTGATGTTGTTGGTATTAAGGTGTTGTTGTGATGTTGGTATTAAGATGTTGTTGTGATGTTGTTGGTATTAAGGTGTTGGTGTGATGTTGGTATTAAGGCGTCGTTGTGTTGTTGGTATTAAGGTGTCGTTGTGATGTTCTTGGTATTAAAGTGTTGTTGTGATGTTGTTGGTATTAAGGTGTTGTTGTGATGTTGTTGGTATTAAGATGTTGTTGTGATGTTGTTGGTATTAAGGTGTTTGTGTGATGTTGTTGGTATTAAGGTGCCGTTGTGATGTTGGTATTAAAGGTGTTCGTTGTGATGTTGTTGGTATTAAGGTGTTGTGTGTGATGTTGGTATTAAGATGTTGTTGTGATGTTGTTGGTATTAAGATGTTGTTGTGATGTTGTTGGTATTAAGGTGTTTGTGTGATGTTGTTTGTATTAAGATGTTGTTGTGGATGTTGTTGGTATTAAGGTGTTGGTGATGATGTTGGTATTAAGGTGTTGTTGTTGTGATGTTGTTGGTATTAAGATGTTGTTGTGATGTTGTTGGTATTAAAGGTGTTTGTGTGATGTTGGTATTAAGGTGTTGTTGTTGGTATTAAGATGTTGTTGTGATGTTGGTATTAAAGGTGTTGGTGTGTGATGTTGTTGGTATTAAGATGTTGTTGTGATGTTGTTGGTATTAAAGGTGTTTGTGTGATGTTGTTTGTATTAAGGTGCCGTTGTGATGATGTTGTTGGTATGAAGGTGTTGTTGTGATGTTGTTGGTATTAAGGT